CGCGAGTTCGATCATTGGATGCCGAGTGGCCTTTGACATGAGCCAAATGCAACTGAATTCAATACGCTGTTAAATTTGCGATGTCAAATAACATGCCGCTTGTTACCCTACTGCGGCGAAGCGTGCTGTCTCCTCGCAACGCCGCAGTTGCACGCATTGAGTATGAATGAAACCGGCGTGTCCGGTATCTTTCTGAATGCCTAAAAAAACATGCAAAAAAGGGCCAGCGGTTTCTACTGTGGTGCTGTCCCAATTGTGCTGTGCTGGCCAGCTGGTAGGGGAATAAATATGATATGCATTGTGTCTGAGTGCTCTCATGATTCTATGGCCGCGTGAAAACTGACATTCGAAAACTGCTGCCCATGCTGCGCCCACAGGAGCAACTGCCGCTACAACGAATGATCCATCAATATATACGCGTACGTGCCGAGGCCCATCTAGTTCGTTGCATTCAAGAGTAAGCGGCAAGGCGAGTCGCGCATGGGAGCGTGCATCGTCTGAAATATCATCAGCTGTAGCGTTTGATTTTAGATTCAACCCAGGCGTACTGCCAAGATGCTACAATAAAGCATGATGTCATCGAATTGGGCATTCAAGCGCGGTCTCCTGCGCATGAAATCTGTCATCAACCCTATGCACATAATGCCTTCCTCATGTGGTTCCCTCTCTCACACGTCCTTCGATTCGTCCCCGAGGCACAAGTACTTGTCCGGTCTCTCTGGCGTTTGCCCCAGTCGTCGATCGTGGATGACAGCCCAGGCCGAGCTGACTGGGGGGGATTTGCGCGGGGCTGGATGCAGCCGTGATCTGCGCTGGCTCTTGCTGCACCGCCGCCCGAGCAGGGCCCCCCGTCATCGGAGCCGAAACAGGGGCGCTGGGAAAAAACACCCTCGGAGATGCACCTGCTGCAAGAGCTGCTGAGTATGCTGCATCTGCTGCTGCCATTCCAGTGCCATCTACAGGCGCAGCTGCTGCAGCTGATAGGTTGTCCACTTGTCTTGCACAACAACCAAGCGCATGCAAGTGCTGCTGTCCCTTGATGAGCATTGGCGAGGCCGGGGGGGTCGCATTTTCTGGGCTGTTGTCACGTTTGAGAACTGCTAATTCACTTTCAATCCGATCCTCCCTAGCAAGAAAGGCCGCCAGCATATGTTCAATCCTGGAGCTCTTTTGCGGCGCTGTGGGGGTGGCTGCGGCGGCTGGCGGGCTGCGTTGGGGCGCGCGGCCGCTGTTGTTGCTGATGTATAGGACGTGGACGACAAGACCATGCCCTCATCCTCCTGTAGCTTCGCCCGCTCCATTTGAGCAATGCGAGCCTCCAACTCATGCGCTTCCCTGGCCATCTGACTGTCCTGCTCCTGCAATTGTTTGACATTATTCCAGGCGTTACTGAATTTTGCCTCTAGATATTGATATTGAGATGCTGCGAGACAAGGATATGGTTGCCAAGGGGTTTGAGTTGAGCAAGACAGCATTTGAGCGCAATTTTCACGATCTTGGATCGTTCGTCTTCCTGTCCTGCTTTCTGTGCCGCTACAATGAGGTTGCCTAGATGATGTCACGTCTGTTTTCTATATTCCCTGTGCTTGGCCTCGTCCATTGGAGGCGGTATCAGAAGATGCTGCATGATCTGGGCAAAAGATATGTTCGCTGGCGTGTTATTGCTGGCTTCCTGCTTCACCTCCTTGGGTAAAAAGGCACACATGTGGTCGAACGATCTTTCCTGCCTGGGGACTCGCCGGCGCTGTGCGATCTATATGGCCTTTTTACGATTTCGATGAGCTCCCCACGGAAGCAGTGCCAGCACTTATCTGAAACTTTGCGTCCACAACTGCACGTCCAGGGCATGGCTCCGGAACTGTGATGTCGGGCAAACTGATCGTGGTCTCCGCTGATGCTGTTGCTGATGTATGGCGCCTCGGGAGTGAAGCGAGCTGCGTTGGCAAGAGAAAACCGTACGCGAGCTTTGTGCCTTTCGCTGCGAGCCCGTCGATGCCAGGCCGGTTCTTGACTGCGCGCCGTTGTGTCGCACCAAAATATATCGCCAGATGCGGGATGCAAGAGTGTGTGTGAGAGAGAGACCTCGTCTTCCTCCTCCTCCTCCTCCTCCTCCTCCTCCTCCTCCTCCTCCTCCTCCCCCGTCCTCATCCCCCGTCCTCCTCCCTCGTCCTCCTCCTCCTACACCTCCTCCTCCTCCTCCTCCGCCTCCTCCTCCTCCACCTGGCTGGGCACGTTCGAAATGGGCACGATCCCCAACAGCGAGTGCTGTCCCAAACCAGCAGCATTCTCTGTTGGATACACGACGTTTGCACCAAATGGACAACATCCGCGACGACAGCAACAGCGAGTCCTCTTCAAGATGGAATGAAATTGTTGTTGGCATTCGTCGCCGTTAGTTTTGTACCCATTTCGATACTACTGCTGGCGCGCTGGGGCGCGGGGGAGCGCCCAGCCACAGCCGGCCGTGCGTGCCCCACTGCAGGCGCTGCGAGTGCGGGTCCTCGCCGCGGCCGCCGCCGCGGCCGCCGAGGGAGAGGTGGGGGGACGGCAATGCCGACCGACCGCCGCGGGCAGGGGGCGCATGCTTGATACCCATATTGTATATGTGAAATAAGCAAGGAACAGAAATCTCGAGCAAAACCTCTCTGGGCTGGAAGTGCTAGAGGGCACTCGACGGGGCCTTGGTGCGTCGCTTTTGTGTGGCCGCTGCTTGGCCTGGGCAGGCGTTCTGTTCCGTGTGCTGCATTGCATGGCGGGCCCGCCCCCCCCCCCTCGGCTGGACTCGGCCAAGGAAGCGCCGCGTCTTGTGGGGGCTCTAGTGGGCCCCAACAGCGCCTCTTACTGGCCCTTGGGGGCCTCAAGCTGACGCTCTCGGGACACGCGAAATTCCATACATACCTCCTGTCCAGGGCCCCAAATCATTTACATGATGCCATGCCTACGGCGAGACTCCTAGCGCTCCGCCTTCCTGCTGAGCAGAAAGTTTGCGTGCCTGCGCAGGTTGCGATGGAGAAGGAGGACCAGCGCGGCCAGCTGGTGGCCAAGGCGTACGCGTGGCGATATCAGCGGCGCCAGCGCTCTCATACTTCTCCAGTATGTGCTTGTTCCGAAGGCCCTGGGGTGACTTTCTGGAACACCACAAAGATTCTGGCGGTCCAGGGTTACTGCACTGTGGCAGCGCAACCTCTTCTTTATTATCATCATGTATGTTAGAGGAGTCAGCGTGGCTGCAACCCTCTGGAATGCTGGGAAGAAAATGAAGATGGAATGGGGGCCGGAGGAGGAGGAGGAGGAGGAGGAGGAGGAGGAGGAGGAGGAGGAGGAGTTGTTGTGGGCCCTACCCAAAAAACGATCGACCGAAGACCCGAGGCCCGGAACCGTCTGGCAGAGACGCGGCTATTCCACAACTGGGGTTCTTGTTCTCCCGCCTGGGCCAGGTGCGAAGGAGTGGCTTGCATGCGTAACTTGCGCGTCAATGTCTGGGCTTGGCTTTCTATGTTTGGAGTTGGCTTGGATGGCAAAGGTCACAATCAGAGCAAGCAGTGGCACTCCACGCTGAGTGAGGTTGTCTTCAGGGGCCCTGGCGTCACGTCCCAGGACAAGCCAAACAACTCGACGGATTATTGGCGAAACTAAACCATCAGATCATGAATGCGTCTTTTCCCGCCACCCCAGCCCACCTCCCCCTCTCCTCCCCCCTCCTCATCCCCGACCCCCTCTCTCTCGCACGCTCTCTCTCTCTATCTCTGTCTCTCTCTCTCTCTCTCTCTTTCTCTCTCTCTCTCTCTCCCTCTTACCTTCCAACTTCCTGTCCAATCCTCTACCTAAGACGTTCTCTCTTATTCTCTCTCACTCTCTCCACTCGTTCTCTCTCTGTCTCTTTTCCTCTCCCTCTCAGCCCCCTCTCACTCAATTCCCCTCTCCCCCTGTCATTATCCTTTTTCCCCTCACGCCTCCTTTTGATGAACAGCGCATCTTTTGGGAGGAGAAAGCAGAAGGGGACGACTTGGACAAAACAGCGGCCGCACCATCTCTCAAATAACCCGTGCAATACATAGTGACGCTTGGCAAATATTGGCCCGTCCCAAAAGCAAAACGCACCGGCGAGAAAAGGAGACGGGAGAGCGATGAGGACGAAGAAGGAAAGGACGACGAGGCGGGCAACATGGTTGCCAGTAGCGGCTGTCACGCACATCAGTTGCTTCACAACCTAGCCCATGCCAATATCAAAAAAACTCTGGCCACTAGAAGAGGAAGGGAGGACGGAATAGGTTTTTGGGGGCCGCAATAACATTACCCACCTCGTTAATCCGCCGACCCCTTGGGGATCATCGGCGTGTGAGATGCTTCCCCCTCCCCAAACCCCTCCCCCGGGAGCCTGGTCCGGTCGATTTGGAGGGGGGGGGGGGGGTCCGGGACGAGCGATCCACGGGGCTTTTCCTGGCCCAAGAGGGCCTCAAGACGGGCCACGAAGCCCCCAAGAGGCTTCCAAGACGGCCCACGAAGGCTCCGAGACGCCAAACGACCGCTCCAAGACGCCCACGATGGCCCCAAGACGGGCCAAGAGGTCTCCAAGACGGCTTGAGGTCCCAAAATTCCCAAGAGGGCCCAAAAAGTCTAAAATTGCTGATTTTCCAGAGTGTTTTTCGATGTTTTTTCCTGTTCCGCTTTTCCGGCTTCCCGACGCTCCAAGACGCGCGACGAGGCCCCAAAGATAGCCCCAAGATGGCCCAAGAGTCCCCCAAGATGGCCTCCAGACGGCCCAAGACGGCCCCAAGACGGCCCAAGAGGTCCCCAAGACGGCCCAAGAGGGCCGATTTGAAGGGGGGGGGGTCCGGGACGAGCGATCCACGGGGCTTTTCCTGGCCCAAGAGGGCCTCAAGACGGGCCACGAAGCCCCCAAGAGGCTTCCAAGACGGCCCACGAAGGCTCCGAGACGCCAAACGACCGCTCCAAGACGCCCACGATGGCCCCAAGACGGTCCAAGAGGTCTCCAAGACGGCCTTGAGGTCCCAAATGAGCTTCCCAAGAAGGCCCAAAGAGTCTAAAATTGCTGATTTTCCAGAGTGTTTTTTGATGTTTTTTGCTTTTCCGCCTTTCTGGCTTCCCGACGCTCCAAGACGCGCGAAGAGGCCCCAAAGATAGCCCCAAGATGGCCCAAGACTCCCCCAAGACGGCCTCCAGACGGCCCAAGACGGCCCCAAGACGGCCCAAGAGGTCCCCAAGACGGCCCAAGAGGGCCGATTTGGGGGGGGGGGGTCCGGGACGAGCGATCCACGGAGCTTTTCCTGGCCCAAGAGGGCCTCAAGACGGGCCACGAAGCCCCCAAGAGGCTTCCAAGACGGCCCACGAAGGCTCCGAGACGCCAAACGACCGCTCCAAGACGCCCACGATGGCCCCAAGACGGGCCAAGAGGTCTCCAAGACGGCCTTGAGGTCCCAAATGAGCTTCCCAAGAAGGCCCAAAGAGTCTAAAATTGCTGATTTTCCAGCGTGTTTTTCGATGTTTTTTCCTTTTCCGCCTTTCCGGCTTCCCGACGCTCCAAGACGCGCGAAGAGGCCCCAAAGATAGCCCCAAGATGGCCCAAGACTCCCCCAAGACGGCCTCCAGACAGCCCAAGACGGCCCCAAGACGGCCCAAGAGGTCCCCAAGACGGCCCAAGAGGGCCGATTTGGAGGTGGGGAGGGGTCCGGGACGAGCGATCCACGGAGCTTTTCCTGGCCCAAGAGGGCCTCAAGACGGGCCACGAAACCCCCAAGAGGCTTCCAAGACGGCCCACGAAGGCTCCGAGTCGCCAAACGACCGCTCCAAGACGCCCACGATGGCCCCAAGACGGGCCAAGAGGTCTCCAAGACGGCCTTGAGGTCCCAAATGAGCTTCCCAAGAAGGCCCAAAGAGTCTAAAATTGCTGATTTTCCAGAGTGTTTTTCGATGTTTTTTCCTGTTCCGCCTTTCCGGCTTCCCGACGCTCCAAAACTGGCAAAGAGGCCCCAAAGATAGCCCCAAGATGGCCCAAGACTCCCCCAAGACGGCCTCCAGACGGCCCAAGACGGCCCCAAGACGGCCCAAGAGGTCACCAAACCGGCCCAAGAGGGCCGATTTGGAGGGGGGGAGGGGGCCGGGACGAGCGATCCACGGGGCTTTTCCTGGCCCAAGAGGGCCTCAAGACGGGCCACGAAGCCCCCAAGAGGCTTCCAAGACGGCTCACGAAGGATCCGAGACGCCAAACGACCGCTCCAAGACGCCCACGATGGCCCCAAGACGGGCCAAGAGGTCTCCAAGACGGCCTTGAGGTCCCAAATGAGCTTCCCAAGAAGGCCCAAAGAGTCTAAAATTGCTGATTTTCCACAGTGTTTTTCTATGTTTTTTGCTTTTCCGCCTTTCTGGCTTCCCAACGCTCCAAGACGCGCGAAGAGGCCCCAAAGATAGCCCCAAAATGGCCCAAGAGGCCCCCAAGACGGCCTCCAGACGGCCCAAGACGGCCCCAAGACGGCCCAAGAGGTCCCCAAGACGGCCCAAGAGGGCCGATTTGGAGGTGGGGAGGGGTCCAGGACGAGCGATCCACGGAGCTTTTCCTGGCCCAAGAGGGCCTCAAGACGGGCCACGAAGCCCCCAAGAGGCTTCCAAGACGGCCCACGAAGGCTCCGAGGACGCCAAACGGGCGCTCCAGCGCCCCAATGGCCCCAAGACGGGCCAAGGAGGTCCCTCAAGACGATTGAGGTGCCAAATGACGTTCCCAAGAGGGCCCAAGAGTCTAAATTGCTGATTTTTCCAGAAGAAAATTGTTTTAAGCTGTTTTTTCACGTTCCGTTTCCGCCTTTCCGGCTTCCCGACGCTCCAAGACGCGCGACGAGGCCCCAAAGATAGCCCCAAGATGGCCCAAGAGTCCCCCAAGATGGCCTCCAGACGGCCCAAGACGGCCCCAAGACGGCCCAAGAGGTCCCCAAGACGGCCCAAGAGGGCCGATTTGGAGGGGGGGGGGGGTCCGGGACGTGCGATCCACGGGGCTTTTCCTGGCCCAAGAGGGCCTCAAGACGGGCCACGAAGCCCCCAAGAGGCTTCCAAGACGGCCCACGAAGGCTCCGAGACGCCAAACGACCGCTCCAAGACGCCCACGATGGCCCCAAGACGGGCCAAGAGGTCTCCAAGACGGCTTGAGGTCCCAAATGAGCTTCCCAAGAAGGCCCAAAGAGTCTAAAATTGCTGATTTTCCAGAGTGTTTTTGGATGTTTTTTGCTTTTCCGCCTTTCCGGCTTCCCGACGCTCCAAGACGCGCGAAGAGGCCCCAAAGATAGCCCCAAGATGGCCCAAGACTCCCCCAAGACGGACTCCAGACGGCCCAAGACGGCCCCAAGACGGCCCAAGAGGTCACCAAAACGGCCCAAGAGTGCCGATTTGGGGGGTTGGGGGTACCTGGACTAGCGATCCACGGAGCTTTTCCTTTCCCTGGCCCAAGAGGCCTCAAGTACGGGCCACACGAAGCCCCCAAGAGGCTTCCAA